TCATTAGTTTTGCATTTGACTAGGTCAGTGTCACTACTGGTAGCATGAGGTGATAACTGGACCCTACAAAAGTTGCACAGGTAGCTGTTTGCTGTCTCCCAGTAAGAGGGGGGGGCATTACTCTAGGAGATAAGGGCCTAGCTGTAAGGCCCTTAAACCATCAGTAAGACTAGTATCTACGCCTTTATGCAAGGACTAGCAGGATGAGCATCGCCGGTGCCCTACAATATGACCCCCAGCAGAAACAGACGTCATGAGGGTGTCCGACATCATCTAGTGGACCCTGTTCTCACTGTCTGGCACAGTGGAGTCTGACAGGGATTTTCTCACAGAATTGCAGATTTGGCAATTCCACTGATAGCACCCCGCCCCTTTTACAGATAAGAGTAGGTTCACTCTGAGCACATGTGGAAAAACATGAAATGGTCTGGAGAAGCTGTGGAGAACGTTATACTCTGTAACATTGTTCAGCATGAGCGGTTTGGGGAGGAATATCCATGGAGTGACCCACAGACCTATACAGGACAGGCAATGGCATTCTGACTGCCAATCCTTCTCAGAGCCTACACTATTGTAGTGGGTCCTGGATTCCTCCTGGTGCACAACAATGTCCAAACTCATGCAGCCATAGAATGCAGACAGTTCCTAGAGGAGGAAGGAATTGATACCACTGACTGACCCCCACGTTCACCTGATCTAAATCCAATAAAACATCTCTGGGACATTATGTTATGTATCTGACGTCAGGGTGTCTTTGAATTCAGCCCAGTCCAGTCCATATCAGTATAGATATCCAGAATGATTTTTTCCCATTGACGTCTCACATGTTTTTAGTGTTCCCTTAACTTTTTGTGCAGTGCACATCACACATGTGGTTGACAGTCATATCAAAACCAAAAAAGGGATAAGAAAATAGCTCTTTCCTCAACTAAAAAAATACTAATTAAACAATGTCAATCTCTGTTCCTTTACTTGGTCCTACTGCAGTTTCTGTCATCTCAGTTAATATGACGCTGCCATTAGTTTGAATTTCGATACATTTCTTCTGTTTAAAGTAGCCCAATTTTTAATACTTTTCAGGTGATATTGTTAGCTTGTAAGAAAAGTTTTCTGCTGTACGTTTTATTATATAACTAACAAACTGATAACCATCAAATACCTTTTCCTTCTCTATGACTTTCTTCCCGAATGCCCGAGGTTGTTAATGTCATGTGCCCATGACTCTCATGAACATGTCCGGCAGACTTGGAAACAAGGAATGCATTGCATATTTCACTCACTAGCTACCAAAACATATCTACCACTATATCTAAATTATATACCTTGCCTGGGTGTATGCTCCTCGCCATGCTCAGATGAGGTTCTGTGGCCATGTGTGTGTCCCTCAGAGTTGTGCGAAACTGGCAAAATAATTGTTATCAACATTAGAAGCAAACATTTCTACAATTTCCAATATGCAGTAGCAGATTAGCTAAGGTTTCTTTATAGAGAAAGACTGTTAGTACATGTGTACTACACAAGGAACTATAACTGCAGTAAAACAATCCCAGTCACAGATACCTCTTCTTTCTGTATGCCTCTCTTCCTCCCTTCCATGTCCATGTGTTGTTATGTGGCCATGGGCCTCATGCACATGTCCATGAGACTTGTGGTGGTCTGAAACAGTAGTTGTTATTAACGCAAACACTTTAACAACTAAAGCTTGGGAACATTCGTCTCACATCTGAGACCCCATTTCTCTCTTTTGACATTAAAAAAAAAATGTAATTAAAGTTTATCTACTGCGTACTTCCATCACATGGGTGATCACTACCACTACCCCTATATCTAAAAAAGATATACCTTGTCTGTCTGTATGTTCCACCTCTCCATGCTCAGATGAAGCTTTGTGGCCATACATGTGTCTCCCAGAGTTGTGTGAGTCTGACAAAATAATTGCCATCGGTATTAGACAAAAACATTTCTGCTGTTTTCAGTATTCAGGGGAATTTTCTTCTAAGGGTTGCTATGCTTTATTTATGGAGAAAGATCATCTGACAGTACAGGTGTACAATAATATACACTCACCAGCCACTTCATTAGTTACACCCATTGAGTTGTTTGTTAATAATGGAAGTATCTGATCAGCCAATCACATGGCAGCAACTCTATATTTATTTAAACACATAGACATGATCAAAATGACCTGCTGGAATTCAAACCAAGCGTCAGAATGTGAAAGAAATTTAAGTGACTTTGAAAATGTTATGTTTGTGATGCCTGAGTATTTCAGAAACTGCTGGGATTTTGTCACACAATCATCTCTGGATTTTATGGAGAGAATCCAGAGAATGGTTCCAAAGAAAGACAAACTATCCAGAGAACAACAGTTCTCTGGGCTAAAATACATTGTTGGTGAGATCAGAGGAGAATGGCCAGACTGCCCTGGGCTAATAGGAACAGCATTAACTCAAATAACCACTTGTTAAAACCAAGGAAAGCAGAAAAGCTTTGAAAGCTTGAAACTGGTTGGCTTCAACAGTAGAAGACCACACAGCAATCAACCGTTGCAAGCTGAAAACAAGAAACTGAGGCTTGATTTTACAAGGGCCCACCAAAACTAGCCAACAGAAGTTTGGAAAAATGTTGCCTGGTCTGATGAGTCTTGATTTCTGCTGTAACGTTCACATGACAGAAACATGAAACCATCCATCCATCCTTCTTAACCAATGGTTTAGGCTGTTCAGCCTAATGGTATAGTGGATATTTTCTTGGCACACCTAGGGCTCCAACAGTTCCAAATGAGTACCATCCATGGACTTGACTATAGTGTACCTATCTTCTGATGGCTGCCTCCAGAAGGAAAACAGTGTCAAAAAGCTCAAATTATCTCTATCTGGTTTCTTGGTTGTGACAACACTGCACGGAAATGGCTTCCAAACTATCACGTCAATAAGAACTAACATCTCTGAGCACTTGGAAAAATTAATACAGTTCTGACAGCAAAATGGAGTTCAATCCAATACTTGCAATGTATACCTAACAAAGTGTCCAATGAGTGCACATTAAACTACTAAATACACTACTAATCATATCTAATATATTGGATACCTTTTCTTTCTGTATGTCCCCTTTCTTCCCTTCCATGTCTATGTTCAGATGAGGTTGTTATTTTGTGGCCATGAGTTTCATGCACATGTCCCTCAGGCTTGTTGT